AAAGAAGGCTGCATCACATGGAACTTATTACAGTGACCCTAATTTTGATCTTGATGTGGCTGAGGTTGTTACAGACAAGCCTGTTGTTTGTCCAGACCTTGTCAGACCAACTCACCAGCCTGAGACGTCTGTGAGACGTTATGTTGGCGAGGCTGGAAAACAGTATACTTTTGATGTGTCAAAAGCTAGTGATATATTTGACCACCTTAAAAAGAGTGGTCTGATTAAGCTGCCGCCGGGACATAAAATCCCGACAGCGGCTGAAATTGGAACTAGAGATTATTGCAAATTTCATAATTCTTGGAAGCATTCTATTGATAATTGTCTTATTTTTCGTAATGTCTTGCAAGAAAAGATTGATAAGGGTTTCTTGAAATTTCCAGACAAAGCGAAGGAAACCATGGGAGTGGATGCAGATCCTTTTCCAGCTGTGTCTGTGGGTGTGAATGTTGCAGACCTCAGGAGTGTTGCCAGAAATCGCAGTCTGCCTTATGCTCAAAGGAATCTTGCTGCAGAAGACTTGAGGTGGGTTCTTGAGGCGCAGAGATCCAGACATAGCAGGAGCGTCAGGTCAGACCAGTAGAGGCTCGGGGGGCAAGAAAGGATCACTGTGACCAGGAACTTCAGTCCAGAAGGTGCCAGACGTTATTCAACTGGTACTAGATCTCCAAGGATGGTCAAACCGCCACTCAGGTCACCTTCCAGACGGTGGGAGAAAATTAGTCATCCCAAGTTTCCAGCCCAGAATCCCAGAACCTTGAGGCGCAGACTATAGCGCAAGAGGGCTGAAGAGCGAAAAAGACACCAGAAGCAGGTGGAGGCTGAGGGAAGTTCATCTCGCAGACCTCGCCAACCTACCAAAAGGAATATGGTTTGGGTGAGAAAAGAGAAAAAGGAGGCTGTAACCTAGACTCTACAAAAGGAGGATGACCAATCTTCAGCTTCTCCAAAGGTGGCGTCTGTCATTGTGAGTCCAGATGGAGTTTTGAAAGCAACTTTTGAAGCACCAGAACAGTCTGGGAATCCTGGATCTGAATCAAAAGAAGATGGCACTCTTCATTTTGGGGAATTCTCAGTGAATTTGTCATGTCTGGTGCTGACATTACCCTTGGTTTTCCAAGCCAAGAAAGAGGAGGAACCAATCGTCTGTGAGTTCCCA